CTCACCAGGTGAAGCAAAACTGCTGCTGGCACGCCCGTCATTTATGGTAGTCCGATTTGTGCGTCTGCATAAATGCGTTTATATATATATATATATATATGTGTGTGTGTGTCTATGTATGCATGTTTGGGGTGCGTGCCTAATTGTCTTTTAATCCTATTCTTTAAGCACCATTATCTAGACTTAATTTCAAGTACCATTTAGTCAGAAAGTCGTATGAATAAATGATAGAATAGAGGAGTGAAAAGTATATAATGCAGTTTAGACAAACACTTTTCTTATTCCTCTCTTCCCACATCTTTTTTTAGACCGGGGGCAGACGGCCAACTCGCATGTCATGCCCACTGGCAGATGCACAGAAGTCGGAAATTCTGGCGTCTCATCAGTCGTCGGGGCAACCGATAAGAAGTCAGGCTGGTCAAGGCTGAGGTAAAGTAGTTGGTAACCTTTAGATCGTGACCTCTTGCGCCTCACTCCAGAGGGGATCTTCTGCCAAGTTGGACGTCGATAGGAGGCTTCTCGAATTAAGCGTTGACGACCGACTCGTGACCAGCTTTCCCACGTTGTTGGACGGCTGCCTCATTCTTCAGTCGTGGGTCCAAGTCTTGCCGCACGGCCGACGAAGATGACGACAACGGCAACGGTGACGACGACGGCAAAGGTGAAGACGCAGGAGATGGCGACGGAAAAGTTGAGGACGAATGAGACAGCGTAACTGTTGAGCTAGTCCCAAAGGCATTTGCTAAGGCTGAAAAATTCATCGGCGAAATCATGGAATTTACTCAACTCATCTCCGAAGTAGTAATGGAAAGGAGATTGAAAATGAGAATCGTGATTCTGTGACTTGGTCGTCGGGCGCCAAGTTAGCTTAATTTCAAATTGCTCGAGATAGCGTAATGAATTGGGAGATGGCAGCAAAATTGCACTTCTCGTTTTGCCAGAGAAGCGAGTAGGAAGCAAGCAGAAGCCAGAAGTGACTAAAGGTGGAAAAAGAAAAAGTACTATGTATGGAAAATTTTGTAAATCACTTTAAGCAATTTAATAACTGACAGTTGAGTTTGTACCACAACGAGTAGTATTAATTATTATGATGTGAGTAGTGTCCGAGACAATCAGTAGTTCTTGCTTTAAATATTATAAAAAGTGGCTCGAGCTAATTTGATAATTGATATTTGAGTTTTCCTACAATGACAAGTACTCATCAGCTTGTGGACAAACTAAACTCTCCTTCCTCATGCAACTTTAAGTGACCTAGGCTGACTAAGTCGTCATTCAAACATTGCGAATATTATCGGAACCTACTTATTACGACTAAAAGTAGTGTAGTCTATTTTAATAGTCCCACTATAAAATGTCAT